GGATGTTTATTTTTGAGAGAGACAGAGCACAAGCAGGGGAGGGGCAGAGAGAGAGGGAGACACAGAATCGGAAGCAGGCTCCAGGCTCCGAGCCGTCAGCACAGAGCCCGATGAGGGGCTCGAACCCGCGAACCGTGAGATCGCGGCCTGAACTGAAGTCAGACACTTACCCGCCTGAGCCACCCAGGCGCCCCTGTTTCTACCCCGCTTTAAATTTTAAGGGAAGAAAGAGCCGGCTGGCCGGAACAAAGCGAGTGTCTCCCGTTAGCACGAGACACGCGTGCTGGCCCCGGAGACTCAAAGGAGGGGGCTCGGTCAGGAGCCACGGAGGCCGGCTGATGTTTAACCTCCTCGCATTTTCCACGGCCTGGGAATGCAAGCCGGCCTCTGCCAGCCTGAGAGTGGATGGGGTGAATAGAGCAGCGGGCCCCCCAGCAGGTATGGCAGCGAGGTCAGCCTGGGCCCGGACGTGTGTAGACGTTGGTGTCTCAGAGCCAGAAGGGAGGCCTCACCTGTCACCTTTGTTTCAGACCTGGGATGTGTCCTGGGAGGCCAGGCCGTTGTCCCTCCCGAGGGCCCTCTGGTGTGCAGGGGACCAAATTTGTGTCCCACTGTTGGGAGGGTAACAGCCGTGAGTTGCTGCTGATGGCGGCCAGGGTGACAAGAGGGGAGGGTGTGCCCCCAAGCCTTCCCCTGACCGTGGAGCTGCTCTGAGCAGGTGGCACTTAGGAGCAGGGAGCCCTGGGTTCTGACCTGGAGGGGGTGTGTTATTAGTGGCCCTTGTCCACCTAGGGGCGGGACGGGGGGGACCTCCCTGAGCCAGGAAGCTGGGCACTGCCGGGAGCAGACTAACAGGTAGGGAAAGCCGAAGTTCGGGGACATGAAGTCAAACGGGAATAGGACTCCCCGCTCCCTGCCCCGGTGCCTCAGGGCCAGAGCCCTCTCGACAGCCGGGCGCAGCCTCCGGGCCTCCCCAGTGCTGCACCTGCACGGGCCGCAGAAGGAGAGAGCCCTGAGCCCTCAGCGCCCCGGTCCCAACCCTGTCCCGGCTCCCAGCCTTACCCTGGGTGGCCCGGCTCGCAATTCTGTTCGAGTCGTGAGTTCAGAACGCTTTCCGGAAGTTACTGGAGAGCCGAAGCTGGTCGTTTCCCGAGTGCCAAGACTCCGCCCGGGCACCGGGCCCTGGACAAACGGCCCGTTTTGCAGAAGCACAGGAGACAGTTGCAGTCCGTGCCGCTGGGGCACATCTGCCTGCTGCGTAAAGTGAGGGTCTGTCTGGAAGAAGTCCCTCTCGGCTCAGAATTTGGGGCAGGCGGGCTCCGCACCTCCTGGAGAGTCGGATTTACGTGCGAGGGTTTCTGTTTCATCTGCGCTCGTGGTTCTTATGATGGCAAAACACACACAACACAGGTGCACTGCCTTAGCCACGTTTAAGTGGACCGTCCGTTCACCGAGCTGTGCCCTCACCTCCCCGTCCCCTGTTGCCCCCCACCCCCCAGCGATTCATTTGGCTTTTGTCCTCAGTTCTTCGCCAGCCTGGGAACCACGTCACGGCCGCGTTGGTTCCTGTCCGTGATAGTCGCTACGTTAATGAGCCTTTACTGTCCAAAACCTCCATCAGAGCGAGGCCCTTACGTTCTCCTGCCTCGCCCCACCTGCCCGCAGCACGGGGAGGTCCTGCCCCTGAAGATCGTCACCTACGCTGCCGTGTCCTTGTCCCTGACCGCCCTGCTGGTGGCCTTCGTCCTCCTCACGCTGGTGCGGACTCTGCGCTCCAACCTGCACGGCATTCACAGGAACCTCATCGGGGCCTTGTTCTTCTCCCAGCTGGTCTTCGTGATCGGGATCACCCAGACCGGAAACCCGGTGAGGCCCCTCTGCCCCCTCTCCTTGCGGGTCCCACCCTTCTCCGAGGCCGGGGCACGTAACTCGCGAAGGAGCGAGGGGAAGTGGCCGCAGCGCAGACGCTGAGTGGGTTGGCCTGGAGGGAGGAGGGAGAGTGGGAGGTGAGCTGAGGCTAGCGGGGGCCCAGGGCTGGTGGGCCTTCTGTAGGATGCGAGAGAGCTTAGCCCCCCGACATGTCGGGGTGGAGGGAGGGACGGGCTGCCGGCCTCGGCAAGGTCCCCGGGGGCTGGGGTGGGGATCAGCCGACGGGACAGGTAGTGGGGAGAAGCACAGGGAATCTTGGAGGTTCGTGGCTTAGGCAGCGCCTGGCTGGGGGCAAAGCAGTTTCCCGTTTCTACAAAGGGGACTTGTAGAGCGCCAGGGTCACAGCACAGCATGCCCACGGGGGGCACGGGTGGAGGTGTAGGCTGTGTGCCCAGGCTCTACACACACGCCTGGGCTTACTGGATCCCCCCGGGGCCCCGGGAGTTGGGGGCATCCCTTCTCACAGGTGAGGAGCCAGGACCCGAGAGCTTGAGGGACGGTCGGAGGCACAGGGCACGCCCTGTGCGTGTTCCCTTGTGTGTCCGTCACAAAGTGGGGACCCTGATAGCCCTGGGGAGACGCGAGGCCAGCTGAGCACCACACGTGCAGATGCAGCGAGGGCGGGAAGTGCACAGGTTATTCTCGCCTGACCCCGATCTCTGCCAGGGCGAGCCGCGAGCCCTCACTCTCTCTCACTGGGCCCTTCCGAGGGCACCGTCACCAATTGTTGGTGACATGGGGGCCGCTTCTTCATTCCCCTTGCAGCAGGGACCTAGCGATTGTCACTCTGTCACACCCACCAGAGACCCGGATCCCACAGGCCCTCCCGTCCCTGCCCGTGGAGCCCACCTTCCCGACATGGACGCAAATCGCAGCTCATGAGTTTCACGTGCCCAAATGGTGCCATGGTGGCAGGTGGGGGGCTGGGCCCAGTTAGGGAAGGGCTGACCATGGCGGTGGGAGGGGTCCAGGGTGAGTGGGGACGGGTTGGGTGTCGACCGGAGCCCTAGGGGCCACGCCAGGCATTGTGCTGTGGAGAGCCATGACCGGGGCTGCATGGCAGGAAGGTGACCGGAGGGCAGAGTCACAGCCAGGGTGGGGTTGTTTGTCCTGCGTCCATGGGATGGAGGCCTAGCACCAGGACAGCAGGCACGGGGTGGACGGTGGGCGTCGGGGCCAAGTGCACAGAGAGACCGGAGGGAAGGTGCCTTAGGTCTCCAGAAGGGGGACAAGGAGGGGAGGATGCCACCAAATGAGAGGGACACTCGGTGGCTGGCCACGCCGCTGGGGGCCGGGGAGAGTGTGGAGAGGTGCGTGGGGAGGCGTCCCCGCCCGTGACAAAGAAATGTATGCGAATGGGCCAGCCCTAGCGGAGGAAGAAGGCGTGTATAAAAAGACATAGAATGTTCTAGCCCACTGGTCAGAATGTTCTAGCCCACTTGCATGCCTGGGCTCCTCCTCCTCCTTGTTGAGACCCCCTCAGGCGGCCCGACCTCCTCAGGAGGAAGGGGGGAGGTCGAGGCAGGGTGTCACAGGCAGACAGCCTTGAAGGCCTCAGGGACTTCGCGGCGGTGACTCATGTAGCAGCGGGCCCGGCAGAGGACAGACCGCAAGCATTTGCCAGCCTGCCCTCCAGGGTGCCCCTTGGACTGGTGGGAGGGGGGCCCTCCCCCAGGGTGGTGCCGGGCAGAGGTTTCTGGGCATCCGGCCGGGCAGGTGCGCCTCTGCCCCAGCGCAGGTCCTTATCGGCGCATCAGACAGGTGAAGGCTCTGGGTGGGAAGCCACATGACTCATTTCAAGCCCTTCAAGCGTGCCCTTGAGTGGTCTCAGCAGCGGGGAACGTGGAGTCGGCCGAGCCGCACCTTGCAGCTAAGTAGCACATGTGAAACGCAGGGAGGCCGCCCGCTTATTTCGAGCACTGACTCATCCCCCTGCCTGGAATGAGCTTTCAGCCAGCGGCGCACTGGGGAGCCGGGAGGGCAGGAGTGCCGGCCGCACATAACTAGGGGCCTGGCTCGGCGCCTGGGTTTTATGGGGTTTCTGCAAACTCGCAGGCCCATCTCTGGGCGAGGTGTTTCGTCTCCCGGATCACTGGCAGGTTAAAATGATTTATTGTGCATTAGCATTTTGTCTGTGTTCTGTTTCTGCAGAAGGTAGTACGTTTAGTGCAGAAGTCTGTGCGTGTAGAGCCCCATTAAATTGTGAAATGTATTTCTAACAATTTTTTTTTTCAAAAGGTGGTTTTTGTGGGTTTACTTTTCACATTATTTAAGGCAACACGCCAGCCCACCTCATTGTCCTTCCTTTTCTGAGCCAACTGTGCTCTGCGTATGGGGCACGCTGGGGCTGTTTGGTGTGGGGTTCCCCTGCCCCGGGCTCACCCTTGGCATCCCGACGGGCTCACCCTTGGCATCCCGACGGCCCTGCCCATCGCTAAGGGCAGACTCTCCCGTATCCTGACTCTTGAGTCAGGCAAAGGGCAGGATGTCCACTCATAATCTAAGATGCTGTGTTTCCTTCTTTGTCCTGTGTTTGACGAATGTAAATGCTAAAATCGTTTCCTCCCACGTCTCCGGGGTTCAGAAGAACCTGGTCTGTGGAGGTTGACGTGGCAACGGGCGTCACTTATGTGCCCAGCCGGTTCGTGCTCTGGTGAGCTCCCCACGGGGAACACCGAGCTGGCACCTGAGCCGAGCAGCCTTCAGTGTGGGTCAGGGTGGTGGCCCTGTGTCTCCTACTCCTGTGTCTGTTGGGTGGGGTGGGGGTGGGGTCTCCCTGGGACCCCTGGGAACCTGGGAGCTTGTGCTGATGGGGCAGCAGCCAGGATTGGACAGAATGTCTCGGGAATGGGGCCGACTGTGGCCTGGGGGAGGGTTAGTCGTAGCCCTGTAGCCTGGAGTCGGGCCAGG